CTAGAGTTCCCACACAATTTAGTTTTTTCAATTTCCCACTTTTGCTAACAACAACAAAAAAAAACCTTATTTGATACTTTGGTAATGTCTTCTGTATCACTAAAACATTCATTTTAAATGTATAAAAATGTTTGCCTAGTTTAGGTTAGATTTGATTATTTTTTGCTTGAAAAAACAAACAAACAAAAAAATCTGCTCACAAAGAGTCGTCCATCCATCTTCTTTACTCGCATTTTCCCTTTTGGGTCGCGGGGGTCACTGGTGCCCATGTCCAGCTATCGCTGTGCGAGAGGCGGGGTCACCCTGCTCCAGTCCATCACAGGGACACGTAAGGACAAACCATTCACTCTCACCTAGGGACAATTTAGTTACCAATCTGTCTAACATGCATGTTTTTGGTCTGTGGGAGGAAACGAGTACATGGAGAAAACCCATGCATGCACGGAGCGAACATGCAAACTCCAGCCGAGGTTCGATCCAGTGACCTTCTTGCTGCTGAGAGGCAGCAGCAACTGCACCACCGTGCTGCTGCTCACAAAGATGAACTGCAAGAATCAATTCTTCTGGAGAAAAATAAATTTAATTTAATTTCTAATCTCCACTTTCCAAGTATTTTTCTACTAACATGTTTTGTAAAACTGTTCAGGGTAAAATAAAAAAGCATTTGCTTTAAACCAGCAGAAATACATTTATTAACGATTGCCAAGCATTGAACAGTACGTGCAACAAACGAGTTCATGGTTTGCACTTACAGTCCTCAGAATACTTAGTAAAGTTTACTGGAAGTAGTTTCCAATGTGTTAAAGATTCACACATCGCTGCCATGCAAGATGCTGAAATGACAAAGTATTTGGCATTTCCATCTTTTATATTTAAAAACTGGAAAAGCGCTCAGCATATCTTTATAACAGAATTTTGTTCTTTCAAAAAAGTAATTTAAATCAAAATGTCTAATTTCTATATTCATACTAATCCACACCTGGGAAATACTAAAAACAATTATCTTGCGTTTTATGGCTCTAGAGCCCTGATAATCCCCAGTACTTACTCAAAATAAATGTTGCTATTTAATTATTCTGTCTCGTACGCGTCTTATTACCTTTAATAATAAAATAAAACAGCCCCTTCAAATCACATCCGTTTGACTCAAGTGTCATTGTTTGAACTTTTAAAGTTTTTTTTCCACTCATTGCATCTTAGCTTCTCTGTAAACATTAGGAATGCGTTTTATTTCTTTAACAATATACTTTCTATAAAACAATAAAAATTTTGAAAAACTATGTCCCAATGGCGACAAATGACTTTTCTTCTGATAAAACAAGAACAAACAGTTACAATAAGAAAAAGACGAGAAAGAAAATGGTCTGGTTTAATTTTATTATAAAAGGTTCAACTACAGAAATAACCAGACATTTCATTTTATTGAGCTCTAGGCTAAACTGTTGGCACACAAATAAGTTTTCACTCAGTCAACTAAACCCTGTTCTCCACTGAGAGTTCAGACTAAATTAAATCCTGAATGTTCTACGAAATACTTTCAGAACCACAGTCTGTAAAACAGTTCCAGCTTCAGCTTCCTTGTACAAACCCCTTCAAGTGTCGGAGAGGAACAGCCGACCTTTCTCCACCCCTTCCCACTGCCTCCGCTCACTTACTCCGTGAGGTAGAAATGCATTTTGTCGTTGACGTTTTTGCGCTCTGGGTTGAGGCGCTTCAGGATCTGTGCCAGCACGTTGACCGTCTGCTCGCTGCTCAAACCCGTGCGCTTGGTCTGGAACTTCTTCAGCAGGTCTTTGGTGGTCATCGGTTTACGGATCAGGTAGCGGCGGACCGCCTCCTCAGTCAGCTGCACGTCACTGTGGGGAGGGAACAGAAACACCCTCTCATATTTTTCTCATATTCAGTATTGGTATTCAGTCATACCCATCTGCTCACTACAGACTCATGTTCGGGCTGCTGTTTAATATACTGTATTATTTTACATTATTAGTGTTTAGTGTATATCTTAGATCTTTTAGCGTATATCCTTATATACTTTTCTTTATATACATTGTATTTTTGGGTGTAACTGGGATCCCGTGTACACAATGTTGTTCCACCTCATGTACCACATGTGATGCAAATGACAATAAAGAAACTTGATTTTTTTCTTTTTTCAGTATGGATCTTGATGTCAGTTTTGTAAACTGCCTTTTTTTATTACAGTGTATTCATTGTAATGTCAAGAAAAATCAGTAAAAAAAAAAAAAAAATCACGAACCAAAATCCATACAACATTTTTGTGGTTAATATGAACATCTGTCGGGAGCCCTGAGCAAAATTTATACGCTGCTCAGTTCATGCCATGAGTCCAGTTTGAACTACTTTAAACTGAAATGGGAAACAGACCTGGAGGAATCAATATCGGACTTAATCTGGAAAAAGATCCATTAAGAACATTTACTCATCCTCAATCTGTCTGAGACACGCTGGAATTCAATTCAATGCACTGGTCCAAAGACAAGTTGTCCAAGATCAAAGCCGACCTGGACCCCGCATGTAATCATTGCAAACAAACTCCAGCTACACTCTTGCATTCTGGACATGTCCCAAACTGCAGAACTTTTGTCAATCTATCTTGTACACCTTCTCTGGGATGTGTGGTAAAACTGTTCACCCACCACCATTCATCTCACTGTTCAGGGTGGTCCCTATGGATACGTCCTTCAGCAGATGTGAGAGGGATATGATTGCCTTTGGCTCTCTTCTGGCCAGGAGGCTCATTTTGTGCAATTGGAAGGACCCTCACCCACCTCCATCATATGTACAATGGATAAGCGAGGTGATGCATCATATCCATTTGAAAAAAAAAATAAGATAAACCCTGAAGGGTTCAGTAAAAAGATTTTGGGACACTTGGCAGCCTTTTATGTTGTATGCTGAAAACATGTCAGTGCCAGTTTAGTTTGTTTTTGTATGTTTAACTGATCCGGTGTGGGAGGGGTGGGGAAGGCTTTTTGTTCTCTTTTTATTTTTTGTTCGAATGTAAAAAAAAAAAAAAGATAAAAAAAAGAAAGTGAATGTCTGTCAGCTAGTTAACTTATGGAAACAGTCAAAGGGACTGAAATACGTAATTAAGGATGTAGAAGTCAGAGAAGTCTGATGTATCTGTGTGTTTTTATACACTGATTTGTTGAGTAAAAGTATGCAGATCTAAAGATAGGGAAGGTTAAAATACCAAGCTCTATCTTTATGGTGCTCCACCACCCTGCTTAACCCCTGATGTCTATTTTTCACATCATCTCACTTATTCTTTCTCTTTTTTTCACATTTAGCAGAAGGCTCACCCACACCTTTTTGTCCACTGAATCATCTTCTGAGATTCTACACACGTCTTATTCCACCATAACTGCTCACCTTCTAAGACTACAACCAGTCTAAAGTAGGTCAGTCCCATGACTCCAACTTCCACTCAGTTTTCAGCTGATTCAGCAGAATTGAATTTTGGGTATACATTTCAGTAAGATCAGCAACACTGATGTACTTCCAATACAGTGAAGTCGTATGATTTATTTAGCTAAAATCGTGGCAACGTGTGCAGCGATGTCTTGGCGTCAGACAGTACCTTGAGCTGGGGGTGGATTTGCCTGATGGGGTTTGAGGTGTGCTCTTCCCAGAGGGAACAGGACTCTGAGTGCTGGGCTCTAGCTTGAGCCGTTTGGCAGCTGGTGAATCCGTAGCAGCACCTTGTCTCTTCCCTGCAGGAAACGGGTTGTGAAGTTAACAAAAGACAAAGAGGATTACAAAAAACGTATCGTTAGCTTTCTCATTTCAATTCAAATAGCTTTTGATGTTTTTCTGCTGCTTTATAAAAGCACACCTTGCTCCAGCTTGGTGGCAGCGGCGCGGAGCGTGTTGGAGGTGGAGGCAGAGTCTATTGACGGCGTCCCAGGACGACTTCCTGTCCTGGAGCTGCCTGCTGAGCCGCGGCCACCTGCGCGTTTTGGAGGCGTTCGCTTCTTCTGCAGATCAAAGTAAAAAGAAACGTAGCGATAAATGTAGAAACCTTCACCTCCAATCAATCACAATTTCTTACAAATCAGCTACTGCCAACAAATCCAATTACAGTAAACAATCAATAATTAATTAAAAAATCTACTAATATCTAGTTTCTCAGCCCCACACATGTTAACCACCATAAATAAAGCAGAAGCCGTCTCTCCCTCAATGTCGCTGTCATCTGAGCTCTCCGACTCGCCGCTGCTCTCTGTGACACAAAAACCCACAAAACAAATTAAAATATGCTTTGGACTTTTATTTTATTTACTATTTTAACATTGGCTTGTAATTCTAAAGCTGAAAAAAAAAATACAATCTTCATAAAGCAAGTACCTTTTTTCTTCTTCTTTTCTGTTTGAACAGGGGTTTTCTTCCCTTCCTCCTCCTCTTCCTCCTCTTTTGCTTCATCTTCATTCGGCTTCTCCTCTTCGCTCTCTTCCTCGCTCTCCGATGCTTCGTCAATCCCTATAAAAATTCAAATTTTGAGAGAAACCAACATAATAATTAATATTTATCTCTATTTTTAAACATTTTAGCTTTTTTCCTCTTATACCATACTAAATCCTAAACTGTACCGACCCTTGGGGTGCTCCTCTTCTTTGGTGGGTTTTTCGTTTGTTGGCTCTTCATCGGAGCTGATGACGGACAACAAATAACAAATTAATACAAACAAATCCAAAAGAAAAATACAAAAACACAAGCATCACAATTTTCCCCTGTCTAGTTTAAGAGATCACAACAAAATCCAAAATTGCAACATGAAATGAAGTTAGCATTTTTTCACAGTATGAACATGAAAATACTTCATTTGAAGTAGTTTAGAAAAAAATATCTGTAAAAGTGATGGCCTTGCTCTTTGTCTATTCTGGGTTTATATTCATTTCTATTCCACAATTTAGCACCTACAAGTGGTGGATTTTTGCTGCCACCTAGGAGGAAGTCTAAAAATATGTGGATTAATTGGAATAAGTTATGTTTGATAAAGTTTGTCATTATAAAGTCAGAGTTGCTCAGTAATTGACTTAAATGTAGTATTAGCTTCATTCATACTTTATTTTTGCAGTCAAAGTTACATTGTCTGCATGAGTAAAAAACACAAATTCTTCACTTTAAGCAACATAAGAACAACTTAAAAGTATAATAAGTGATCCTGTGCTCATAGATCATGGATTTATACCACGGGAGGTGTTGAAGTTCGGTTGTAATGTCCAGAAAAGAATGTTTGTGCTCTGACCTGCTTTCATCCGACATATAATCCACTTCTAGACCCTCGTAGTCCCCGTCATCGCTGTCTTCAAGGGCCTCTTTGTCACTGCCCTTTCTCTTCTTTTTCTTTGTTTTTCCTTTCCCTGTCCCTTTGTTTGTCTTTGACTTGCTTTCTCCATCTAATAAATAAAAAATAAACCCAAAGCAATTAAAAAAAGCTCAGAAAATTTATGGTACATCCAGTTTCTTTCACCTTACCGTCGCCCATGCTGCTGTCACTGTCGTCGCTGCTCATCTCCAGCTCGTCTTCCAGATCGTGGATGAGCAGGTCGGCCCCTTTCCCACCCCCCTTCTTTTTCTTCTTCCCGGATTTGTCCGTCTCCTCTTCATCATCCTCACCGCGCTCCTGCTCCCGTAGACGCCTCTGAAGCATGATGCTGAAGTGGTTAACCACCTTGTTCCGCCTACAAAGAAACGAAAAGTAAAACTGGGTGGAGTTTTCATGCGAATACGTTTTAAATACAAAAAGTTTTAAGTCATTTTCAAATGCACATCCTTGTTTTTTTTTTTAATTTTATTTCTCACCTGCCCCACTCTTCTTCAGCTTCTTCAGCTGTCAGAGTTCGATGCTTTGCCTGTTGTGTGAAGTTGTACCACCCGTGAACAGGAAAAGCCTCAAAAGCTCCGTCAGGACACTGTGTGAAAATGTAGTAGGATGCATTTTCTGTGACACCACCCTTCTTCACCCCTTTGAACCTGACACAAGCAAAGAGACAAGACAAAAAAATAAAAAAAAGGAATTCTATGAAAAGGGAGTACAAGGTGCCTTGTGAAAAAGTAGCATTTTCTTTTTTGTTTCTAAGAATACATCTCATTAACTTAGGAGTGACAAAACAAATTTTAGTCATAAAATTATTTTAGAGTTTTTAAAATTTGTCTCCCATAAATTAAATTTTCTCAAGATGTAATGTAGCTGATCAAAAAGAATGAAATCAGCACATAACAATAAAAGCACAAACTTTATGCAACATGGTGGAGAAGAGAAACGAGGACAATACGCACAGCTTCATACGTATAGTTCTTTCAAATTATTAAACAGTACAGTTAACTTCTGCCTAAACATACTCTAATGTGATTCTGAAACACAATCTGTAAAGTTAGTAAAATATAATTAAGTCACAAAGAGGACCCTCTTTCCTCACCTCTTGCCAGCTTTGCCATTGACCTTTAAAATCCACGGCTGGTCCTCTGCCTTGAACTCACGGGTCACAATACCAAACTTCTTCCGCCGAGCTTCCTCACGCTGTTTCTTTCCAAACTCGCTGCCCGCACCACTTTCTGCCGTCTCCTCCTCTCCATATATCCGCCGAGCGCTCATGTCTCTCTCCATACGAGCCTGGGAAAGTAGAAAAAAGTGACAAAAAGTAATGTAAAATCTGAAAGCATTTTATTTTTATTATTATAGTATTTTATATTTGTCTGATTTACTTTAAATGTCACTTATACAGATAAATGAAGTCTACCTGTGTCCAGGTTGAACAGTTAACTCTGTCCCCTGAATTGAATGCCATTATATTGTATTTCTTGCTGGTATTTCTATGAAAAGGTAAACAAAGATGGAATCAAAAGGATTATTTGGTTAACACACATTTGTCCCACTCAAGGTTTGAGGGAAAAGCACCATTAGATTTTGTTTAATGCAAAAATACTATTCAATTTACATTCATATCTAGATGTGTTTAATAAACATGATACTTACTTAGGTACTCTCACGGTGTATTCGGTGGTTGAAGAACTGCTGCTACCCTATTTAAAAAAAAAAACAAGTGAAATTTTACATTTTCATCCAGAGTTGTAGGACATATTTGTGTTGCATATGTTGACGTTTGATTCAGACGCGTTGCTTAATATCACAGTACTCAAAACAAAATGTTAATGTTAGTCTAAAAGAGGGTTAACATAAAAATAAAGTAAGGACGTTGACTTACCAGAGAAGTCATGGTTGATCCACGTCTGCGTTTCTCAACAGCTGCTTCAGTTTTTGGGTACACTTTAAATAAAGAAGAATTGATATGATGAGAGCACATAAGATTAAAACCAATCTTATTTAATGACGACGCATTGCATGACAAAAAAAAAAGCACATAGAAATCCAGGTGATGCCATTAAAAACAAGAGGCTAGTCGGTGTGATTTTAATGCTAACACAATCTGGATTTGTTTTGGTTCCGGTATAAAGTCAAAATAAAAAAATAGAGAGCAGCAAAAAGACTTAAAACGCTTTCGTGACTCGTACAATCGGCACAAAAACACAATAAGAAGATAAAAGTTGTTTTAACTAGCTGATATTACCAACAGTAGATTGTAATGTTAGCTGCTGTTGCTAGCATTAAATGCTCAACGCGTCTGCTCACTTCGCTCAGCTTTAACTGAACTAGTGCATTCTAATGTCGAGTTCACTCACCTATGTGTGAAACTTGGAATAAATAAACGAACTCGAGTGTTTAGGACATTAAATTAAACATGGTATGTAGAGATTTATGTGTATGGTAGAGATAAAGTTCACCGGAGAAATTGGTTCTACCGGTTAATACGTTCGACTGGAAACATTTACTTGAAGCAAATGGTTCCTTCCGCTACAGAGGCCCTTAAGCCAAACGCAAACAAAAATACTTATAAACAACAAAAACCTCTTTCCCCTGCTCTCCCCTATCAAGACAAAACATTAAAATAATATCAACATTTTAGGTGTCAAATCAAAAGCAGTTCTTCCAAATAAAAAAAGTGTCACACAATAAAGGAAGTCTTCAAGTTAAAGTAGTGAATAGTTCAAAATCAAGAAGTTACGTCTTGTCAGGCACTTTTGTGATGTTTTTTTTAATAAACAAAAACCATTGACGGTGTTTGAAGTTTAACCTGTAGGGGTAAGTATATAAGCTCAACAAATGTGTACTGTCGAGGTTTGTTTTATTTTACCCTGTGGACAAAAAAACATTAAAAAAAAAAAAAAACTGAGCTTGTCATGTATAGAAATAAACGTGTGAATATGTAGAAAAAGTTTGGAAAAAGTTTTTTTTATTTTTATAAAAGTGTTAATAATTAATAAGCTATTTTGCTGTTTTACATTAAACTTGGTTTATTTCACAAGAAGGATATTTTAGCATTTACTTTTCTGTCCAAATATACTACATTAAGTCAAGAACTGAAAAATATCATGTAAAGACGGAAATACTTTTTCAAACTGAGAGAGATTTAAAAAATGTAATCAGTGAAAACTGGTTTACTCTTGTTATTTTATTGTATCTTTTACCTTCACTTATGTAGGATTTGCTGGTTTTGCAGCAACACTCTTGGTGACATTAATGCAATGGAGAGTCATTTTCAAGTTCTCCATTTACTGACAGTGAGAACAGGGCAGATGTTTTTGGATGTCACTGCTGCTTTTTTAGCTTGTGAACAACATCTGGACAGAACCTGTTAGCTTTATTACTGTTGACATCTCGTGTTGGTCAGCAGAGAAAAATCTTTGTACACACTAAATAACTGCTGCTTTCCTGACAAGTTTTATGGATAGGTTGTTTTTTTTTTTCTTTTGCAGGCAGCTTAGTTTTTTAAACCCCTGAAGTTCAAGCTTTGTCTCATGTTGTCAGAATTTGATTAAGTATTGCCTCAGCAAAATAGTTCTAAATGCAGAAAACACTAAAGAAATTCAAATATTTTCTCATAACTGTGAAAGCACAAACAACACATTCTGAATAAAATCACATTTAGCAGATTTTTCATTCTAAATGTGTTGCATGATTTGAAAATAATCTGTTTGATATAAGTTGTTGAAATATTTCACTACTCCGATTCCATTCACAGTATCTTTTAAGATTGTAATACAGCATATGGCAACTGGTACAAAACTTAAAATTTTATAATTTGTAAAAAAAAAAAAAAAAGGCACATTTTCAACAAATTGCAAATACGTTTGTGTTGATAAACCTCCTGACTCTCTGAGCAGCTCCCCTCCCTCTGCTTATTACATAAAGGGGTGTGCTGGATAATTTAATTATCCTATCATCAACTCATTCATCAAAAAAGCCACACAGAGAGGATCCAAGAAGATTTTTTTCAACCCACTTTACTACTTGCAGGGAGGGTTGGGGGGTGTCAGAGTTAACATACATCCATACAAGATGTTACATGACACAAGTGTGCCCACAGACAAAGAGTTAGGAAAAGCTTACATACCCGTTATCAGACAAAGGCAAGGTCAAGACGACCGCTGCTTCACAGCTCACAGTTTTTGAAGACGTCAGAATTTATCAGTTATCAGATATCAGTTATCAGATATCAGTTATCAGATATCAGTTATCAGATATCAGTTATCAGTAGGTTCGAAAGCTCACCAAGGTGCAGGTTATTGAGAAAGACGGCCTCCCTAAGGGGAAAGGAATAGTGATGGTGTTGATGAGTAACACCATCACTATTCCAATAACAACACATTCAGTGTAGGACAACACTCCAGTAGTCAATTACATGCCAGGGAAACAGAAAAGTGGGTGAAGATTTTTTTTTCTATTTAACAGGACGTTGTCGGTCTCTGAGGACTTTGAGAAAGTCGACACACCAAACGGCTGATGGTTTGATGAAGTAGACATTTTAAAAACATTAGTGTTCATAGTTAACCAATAATCACTGCGATATATTTTATTACCGCTTCTCTTCCTTTGTTTTCCACCAATAGATTTTTATATTGTGATTTTTGTCATTATTATAAACTTATATTTTAGTCCAGAAACTCAACCAGCTGTAAGTCTTAAATGTGCTCAACCATAAAACAAGGATCCATCGCTTCAGCCGATTTGCCTGAGAGCAGAGTTATCACACACACACACACACACACGCTGTTCACACACCTGTAATCTGTCGTCGAGTTTTAAATAAAACCAGCTTTATTTAATTCCAAACAATCCACGTCTCTGTCCTTTCTTTCTCGTTTCATTTGCATTGGATTCACATGAGACAAATTCAAAGGATGGGCAAAGATAAACACTTTGTTTACATCTCCGTTTACCTCCCGCACCTACTCACAGGAAGACGTGCATTGCTTTGAAATTACAGAGAACTCGGGAGTCAGACTGCTACTGGGTCACACATTTTCAGTAACATAATACGGCCTCATACATAAGATAAGTAAGATAAGTGCTGTGTGTTGTCATCATTGTATGTTTCAAGGTTCATTATTTGTCATACACACCACATGTGGTACATGTGGTGGAAAGAAATTGTGTACACATGGTCCCAGTTACATCCAGCACAAGTATAAAATGTAAAACAGCAATAAAATCTAAGATATGAACTAAGAAAAACGTTAAAAATACACTTGCACTGGTAGCATAAAAAACAATACACCCAACAGCAGCATGAACATGAGTCTGTGTGAGCAGATGAGTACGAATGAACACAGCAGCATGAAAAAGATCAGCAGCAACATGAAACAGATCAGCAGCAACATGATGTGATTTTTCACAGTGATTATTCTGGTTAGAGTTCCATGAGTCTAACAGCCTCAGGGTATAAGCTGTTCCTCAGTCTAGTGGTTCTACACTTAATGCTCCTCAACCTCCTGCCTGAGGGGAGCAGGGCAAAAGGTGTGTGTGCTGGGTGAGTGGGGTCCTTCATGATGCAGGTGGCCCTCTTCCTGCATCATTTCTATACAATGATGAAATTAGTTCTTTGCATTTAACCCATCACATCTGAGAGACACCCAGGTGGAGCAGTGGACAGCTTTGTAGGCACCAGGGATCAATTGGGGATTAGGTGTCTTGAAGAGAAATGACATGTGAACATGTCCGGGAGTCGAATCGTGACTTTCTGGTCTCACGTCGGCTGCCCTACCTCTACCGTCTCAGCCCTACATGCATGTTATATTGGGGAAATGACTATCATGCTACAATTTGTTGTGGTAGTAGCTGGCAGTGATCTTGATCACAAACTCTGAGTACTAACAAATTTAGACTTTTTTTGTATAAACATTTTAGCACGTTCGTATTATTGGATATCCAGAGTGCAAACTGAGAGGCAAGAGGCCAAGCAGTAAAAAGGTGTTTTATTAATAAAGTGTATACACTGGAACACAGGAGGGAGCTGTAGGAGAGGATAGAGAGCTGATGGCAAGATGTTGAGATGATGCTTTTTATTGCTGTATGTTTGTAGATTATAGAGCCAGAGGATGAACACGGGAGGACACAAAGGACTTTGTGAGGAGGATTATCCAAGGACAGTGGATAGTAAGCTCCAAAGAGCACAAGGAAAACAACAATTAATTTGTTTAACTGAATACCCAGAGACAAGGACTGAGTGCACAAACTTCAAGACAGAGAACAAATTTAAAGTGATTTTATTTTCAGTGGGTAATACAGCACATCAGGAACCCTGAGGAGCAAGGACACAACTTAGATGATTTTTCCAAGAGGAGGATGATATTGTTGGTAGAGTTCAGATATAGGTTGTGTAGGGCGAGTGGTTGGAAGCCGAGGAAGACAACTGAGGAGACAAGAGATTTTCGGGGGTTCTTAAAAGAAGTCCAGCCACAGGTAGTTCACGAGGAGAGATACTGTAACTAGCAAAAGGAACACGGGTAAGTGTTTCTCAACGATAACTGAAGCTTCAACAAATGAACCTACATGTATTTGTGAAATATTTGGCCCATCTGGTTCAATGCTTCATAAAAGCTTCATTTGCCCATTGGCACCATCTAATGTCTTCAGAGCAGCAGGAAAAACGGGAACACCCACAAATAATGGAAATACAACCAAACTTCAATAGGGCCAGACAACATACCAAATTTTGGACAATGTTCCAGCAGAGTCTACTTGATCCATGCTGCCTTAATGCTTCATGCACAGGGGATCCTCATCAACCGAACAGGAAACAGCTGAAGAAGACTGGCTCCGCCCTACCACTCAGGAGGAGGTGTCAGTTCATGGAAAAACACAAACCATGTTTTTCCAACACATTATTATTGGAATCATGCTGGATTTCACATATTGCTGTGCCTTTTTATATTGACCATCAGTGTTTCTGCATCTAAAAAGTATCAAAAACAGCAATCGTCTGCTTCTGTTACATCACATGATGCCTCCTGTTGCTGTCGATTTGTAAATAATCCAAGAATAATTGTGTTTATTTAAAAAACAGACATGGGTGTAATTTATGAACGATACTAACAAAGCCTCTCCTCAATAACTGCTTGTTGCGGAGAATGTATTACGTTCATCCGCATTGATTTGATCAAGTAAACAAAAAAAAGTTACAACATGTCACACTTTATATA